TTCAAAATGTGATAGGTAGTCAGGAAATTAAAAGTGTAATTTATGCCTCTAGGACGCCTGCTGGTGCTACTTGGATCTTGGGCCTCTGTATGTGACCAGGCTGTGAAAAGTCTCACATATGTGGTATTTTCATACTCAGGAGGAGTAGCAGAATGTGTTTTGTGGTGTAATTGCAAGTATGCATATGCCATGTGTGAGAAATAACTTGTTAATATGACAATTTTGCGTTAAATAAAAAAAAATAATTTCTTCATTTTCCAAGAACTGTGGGAAAAAATTACAACTTCAAAAAATTCACCATGCCTCTTACGAAATAGCTTGGACTGTCTACTTTCCAAAAAGGGATCATTTGGGGGGTAGTTATACTTTCCTGGCATGTCTCAAGAAATTAGATAAGCTGTCAATACATCAAGTGTGATCAATTTTCAATTATTGGTACCATAGCTTGTAGACTCTATACACAGACTAAATAATATACCCTGATTTGGGTTATTGTTACCAAAGATGTGTAGCAGTATACATTTTGGCCTAAATTTATGAAGAAAACTTACTTATTTGCAAATTTTTTGAATAGAAACTAAAAAATTTTTTTTTTTTCATTTTTGCTTTTTTCGCTTATTTCACAAAAAGAAAACCCAGTAATGATTAAGTACCACCAAGATAAAGCTCTATCTCTGAAAAAAAATGATAAAGTTTTGTTGGGGTACAGTGTAGCATGATTGGGTAATTGTCATTCAGAGTATGAGAGCACTGAAAGCTGAATATTGGTCTGGGCAGGAAAGGGGTAAAAGTGCCCAGTAATGAAGTGGTTAAAAAAAAGATATCATTGAAAAGATTAGACATTCTCCTTAAGGTCTTCTCTTCTATGAGTGAAAGATAACTTTGTACAGAAGTTGCATATAAGCACATGATGATGATTTCATTATAGCATAAATGGTAAACATGTTGTGAATCTGGGACCTGGAGTGTTGAATGTTCCTATATTGACAGAGCCCATTCACACCAGCCCAGCCTACATTAGGGTGCGTCAATGTGTCTTGCATTAGGGAAGCTCATTTATTTGAATGGGCTGCCTAATGCAGGCCATAGACGGGGAGAAAAAACGGCCGATTTTTCTTTAAAAAAACTAAAAATCGGTCGTTCAAGCGGCCGACGTTACCAACAATGGTAAAAAAAAATCGGCCGATTTTCATCCCGTCTACAGCCAGCAAAAAGTGTTCCTGCAGAGAGCTCCGCTATTTCTTTGACAGTTCTTTGACATTTATAGCGGTTGCAACATTGTATCTATTTGTATCTATTTAGGATACAGATGTTTTTATTCGGAAACAAATAGATACAATGTTGCAACCGCTGTAAATGTTAAGGAACTGTCAAAGAAATAGCGGAGCTCTCTGCAGGGACACTTTTTGCCAGACTGGAATTCCTCTTATTTTTCATCCTCTTCTTCTTCTTCTTTTCTTTCCTCTTCTTCTTCTTCTTCTTCTTCTTCATCCTCTTCTTCTTCATCCTCTTCTCCTCTTCTTCATCCTCTTCTTCATCCTTTTCTTCATTCCTCTTCTTCTTCCTCTTCTTCAAACTCTTATTCTTCTTCTTCATCATCATCCCTCTTCTTCTTCTTCTTCATCCTCTTCTTCATCCTCTTCTTCTTCTTCTCCTTTCTTCATCATCTTCTCTTCTCTTCTTCATCATCATCCTCTTCTTCATCCTCTTCTTCATCCTCTTCTCTCCTCTTTCTTCTTCTTCTTCTTCTTCTTCTTCATCATCCTCTTCTTCTTATTCTTCTTCTTCATCATCATCATCATCCTCTTCTTCTTATTCTTCTTATTCTTTTTCCTCTTCTTCATCCTCTTCTTCATCCTCTTCTTCTTCCTCTTCTTCATCCTCTTCTTCTTCTTCTTCATCGTCATCCTCTTCTTCTTATTCTTCTTCATCCTCTTCTTCTTCATCATCATCCTCTTCTTCTTCTTCTTCATCCTCTTCTTCATCCTCTTCTTCACCCTCTTCTTCTTCTTCTTCATCATCATCCTCTTCTTCTTCCTCTTCTTAATCCTCTTCTTCTTCTTCATCCTCTTCTTCTTCTTCTTCCTCTTCTTCATCCTCTTCTTCTTCATCCTCTTCTTCATCCTCTACTTCTTCTTCATCCTCTTCTTTATCCTCTTCTTCTTCATCATCATCCTCTTCTTCTTCCTTTTCTTCTTCATCCTCTTCTTCATCCTCTTCTTCTTCTTCCTCTTCTTCATCCTCTTCTTCTTCATCCTCTTCTTCATCCTCTTCTTCTTCATCCTCTTCTTCTTTTTCTTCTTTTTGTCTTCCTCTTGCAGGTCACTGCTCATGCGCAGATTTTTTTATTGGTAAAAAATCGGCCGGTTTTTTTCCAACTTTACCAATAAAAAAAATCTGCCAAAATACCAAAAAACGGCCGAACAAATAGCCCACTAACGATCCGAAAATCGGCCGATTTTATTTTCGGACGAAAAATCGGCCGATTTTCGACCCATCTATGGCCCCCATAATGCATCACAATGGACAACCAATTGTGCATTTTCAGGAATGCAATACACCTCAACACATTGCAGAATGAATGCCATCACAGTGCACCAAAGTGCCTGAAGCAGAATTCTAACAAAAATAACAAAATAAAACTGAATTACAGATACATTTTAAAAATACAACTTGTTTGCACTATTCATTTTCAATCTGGAGTTCTCCCCAGTGGAACTTCTTATCTGCGACAAGTAGCTCTCAATCTGACGTCCAGAGTCATTCAGACCACTTCCTGTGAACCCAGACTGTCCTGGACTCACCCTAGCCTGTGGCTGGAGAGTGAAAGGAGAAGCAGCACAGCGATGATCTCATGTATCACTCTGATTTCTCCTTCTATTAGCATGCTCCTTATCAGCACCTTGGCTTCTTCTGCTGCTTTTTTCACTCACACTCCAGCTCTGCTATACAGGAATTAAAAATGGACGATACCAGACAAATTCAGGCACTTACACTACTTTCAGTGAAAAATACTTTTTTTTTTTGTTTTTTTTTTTTAAGTTTTTTTAATTAGTGAAGAAACAAACTCCAAGTGGGCAACCCTCACAGGGGAGATCACTTGTGTGAAGGACAATTGTGTTGACCATACAGCAAATTAAGGGGGAAAGAAAAGAAAAAAAGAATCTAGAAAGAAAAGAAAAAGAAGTTGGCTCATGCAACAGTCCACATGGCTCCAGGATGAGCTTAACATTGTTTCCTCATGGGCAAAAAGCAGTAGGGAACAATGATTGGAGGTAGAATGATTGTAAGGCTGAATTGCAAAAAAAAGAGGAAGGTTGGAGTACCATCGGGGGTCAGGTCACTCCCAAAAAAGAGTTATAAACTAGTGCCACCTCCTGATTTATCCAGACAAGGAAAAGGAAAAAGAAGTACAAATGGACTTTAAGGGCACAGAGACTATAAACACATTTTGATAAAATCATTTATACTTTATTTTGACATTGTGTCACAGAAAACATTGTTCATGACTTGATATTCCTCAGGGCAAACAGCCCTAGAAAGCGATTGTTGTCGCGAAACATGTTGGGCCATTCTTCCAGCGGCTGAATGTCTCTCACCGCCCCATGGGATCTTCTTGGTGGTATGCTTTGCTCCTTACAATATGGTGGGCTGCAGGACATTATCTGCGGGGACATTGTACAATGATGTTTTCTGTGACACACTGTCAAAATAAAGTATAAGTGATTTTATCAATATGTGTTTATAGTCTCTGTGCCCTTAAAGTCCATTTGTACTTCTTTTTCCTTTTCTTTGTCTAAGTCCTGAATAGGGCCTTACGAGCTTGTATCAGCAGCCATGGCCGGGTCTTCCAGTAAACAGGCCCATACCTTGTGAAACCTTTTTTTCCTGCCTCTGTTCCCCTAAGTGTCCTGGTATAAAGAAGATTGGAGTTAACTAAATGCTTCCACAAGGTAATGGAAGGGCAGCTGTTATTTTTAATGCATTGTGATCGACTGGTATAATAAAGCAAGAGGCCCAATAATGTTCTCAACGCGGTCATGGGGGTCATGGGTTCCATGACCTTTTGCCTAAAAGACAAAGCTTAGGGTCCAGGGTGATATGGGACAAGGCCACTTTATTGATCGAATAATACATTCAATGTTGTATTAATCATTACATCATTATGTCTGCTTAGAGTTCAGCTTTAATGTGTGTTACTAAGCATTGCGTGTGCATTATCACAGCACACTGGTATGACTAGGCCTTTTGTTTTTTTCTATGTGGTTCCAGTACATTACTTTTACAAGACTAACTAGAGATGACTGTAGAAGATAAACAATGGTAAAATAATTTTTATTCACTCTATTACAGTTTATATCTGCGCTCATATACAGTATAATACTGATATTAGCATAACAAAAAAGAAATTTGCTTTTTATTTTTTATAAATAATTAAAAATAAATTGTGCACTCTTTCAAAGAGAAGATTTCAAGCCATTTTAAATCTTCTTAAATGTAAACCTTAGTTTGTTCTTGTTATCAACTTAGTCTACAGTAAAAGAACGCTTGGAGTGAAGGACAGAACATGTACATGGAAAACGTATTTCCTATACTGCTCAATGTGATCATTTTCAGTATGAAAGTATGCTAGCATATCATTCTGTGACCACACAATGCATACTTGACTGCCATTATGTTTCCATTGGCTTTAAAGGAAATTAAAAGCTAATGTACTGTAAGAAATAATTGAAACCTGAAATTAAGATATGCAAAGCCAGTTAAGTTTCTTTGGGGGGGGGGGGGGAGGCCACAGACATCCAGACGTCTGAGGGAAACATGAGAAGCCAGTGGTCGTATCAACTTTCTGAAGCTCTCCTAGTGTTGGTCCTAATTAGCATTGATCTTTTTAACTAGACACATGTTGCTCCCACCTAAAGAAACCTGTCAAAAATGATATGCATGGCCTTCTTTGTCGATCTACTTTTAAGAATGCTACTTGCTTGGCTGTTATGCTGATCCTCTGGCATCAATGCTTTCTGTCTTGTGTGTCAGGGAAACTATTGAAGTCAGAACATCACCTTGATATCAAAGCATCTAGCATTTTCGAAAAATCGGTCAAGCCAAGTGGTCATGTCAGGTGTTGGCAGGGGCGGACTGACCATTTGGAAACTCGGGCACTTCCCGAGGGCCCGGGGTCAGTAGGGGGCCCCATGAGATGCCCCTGGTACCTTTTTCATAGGCTTTTTTGAGTTTGGGCAAGGACACAGGGGCCCCATGATCCCCTATTGCCCAGGGGCCCCATGAGTTGTCAGTCCCGCCCCTGGGTGTTGGCTATGTAGTCGTGTGCTCTGCCAGCTGCCTGCAGCTCTCTCCTATTTCTCCCCCTCCCCTAGCCACTGTAGACCGGATAGAGAAGCATGCTGTGTGTATGTCAGTGCCCACCCTCCTTTCTCTCCTCAGCACCACTGTGTTTATAGATGGAGCTGTGTGCGCATCAGCCAGCTCTCAACCCTTGCTTTCCTACTACCGCTGCTATGCTGAAGATCAGAGCGGCTCTGTCCCTGTTCATTCCTTCACCCCCCCCAGCAGCAAGGCTCTAAGCCAATCAGCTGGAAGGAGAACTTGTTATTCAGAGCCATGGACATTGGGATATGTAGTTCACAAGGAATGCTTTGCAATTGAGGCTATTAAGCTGTGGACTTCAGTACCTAGAAATCCTTGCTGAACTTTTCACAGGTAATTCTGTTGGGAGTGGGCCTTTTGCATTAGGAAGCCAAGCCATACAGACCTATGGCCTTGGCTGTGACTGTGCAGAGACCAGGGTGCCATCTCAGAGCAATATGGAGACCAGAGAGCATGGACCTGTTGCCTACACTAAGCCTGTGCAGAGATCAGGTCTCCTTGCTGTGGCCATACCCACATGGAAGAAAAATATATTTTAAAAATATTCTTCCCATATGACATATATTTGAAATACTACTATATATCTATCTCTATATATATATATATACTGCATGTTGAAATGCGTTTTTTATACATAACAAAATATATGAAATATATATTTTTTAAATATATTCTTCAGATTTTTTTAACATATAAAAATGTAATTTTCACATAGCATTTTACATATATTTGTAAATGCATTCCAAAAATGTAGATTAAAGGTATTTTTAAAGACACAGTAAAAATGTAGTTTGAAAAAAATTTTCAGATATTTTGTAATAATAAAAAACGCATTTCAACATACAGTATATACATTATATATATATTGAAATATATTGAATACGGCCAAAATTGTAGTATTTCAAATATATTTGGGAAGAATATTTTTAAAATATATTTCAAATATATTTTTCTTCCATGTGGGTAAGAGCCTGAGGACTGAGCCATAGAGAGATCATTTGCTGAGCCTGGAAGGACCCATTGTCGTGAGTGCCTACAGTAAGAGAAAACCAGCGAGGACCAGAACTGAAAGACTTTTGTTTGTGAGGACTGAATCACCAGGTTCCAGGTAACTGAGGACAGCAGACCAACAAGTGATCTGGACTGGATTCCTGTGTACCAGGAGTTGTAAACTGAATCATCTGTACTTATCCCAACACTGACACAGTTAATGCAATAGTGACTGCTCCTTGTGTAACAACCCATCAGCCATCTCTTACAGAGACAGCTACACATGCACCAGCTTATAGAGGGGCTCCAATGACAGCTGGCTAACATTGAGAAATTGGCGCCAGGTACTTGTAGACACCTCCAGGGATACCCCTTTGTCAGGTAGGTATACACCCACCCGCTATTGAGGCTGTATGCATAGTGTGCACAGGAAGAATTTTATTTATAGGTTAGTTGATACCAATACCCTTAACACTGTTTGCATCCGGTATAATTTGGTTTAGCAGCACTAAAGTTCAGCTTATTGCCCTCTCATGGGTCCATGTTCATGTAATCTAGTACAGTATCTTTAAACCGGTTTATTGATTCTTGCATTCTTTAACTGCCTTGCCATACTGCATCCTTTAAGTCTACCATTCAGTTGCTTGCGGCCTATTTTCTGTGCACTATTATAGAATGGTAGCATACTAACATTTAAGTTAGACAGGTGTGTCAGTGGGGACTGAGCAGCTTAACTGCTTAAGGACCGCCCTATAGCAAATACACTGCTACTGGGCGGCACCTGTGCGTAGAATCACGCATATATACATCATTTTGCATTTCCTGGTAGGGGGTGCGAGCCCTAACCGTGCCACCATTCGAGGCCGCGGATGTCAATCACGGAGTCCCGGACGGTATTTACCCGCCGACACTGCCGATCACCGACGGGGAGGAAGATTGTTTTGTTTACAAACAATCTTCCTCCCTGTCAGCTCGAGCACTCTGCTCGGGATGGCTGTGCACAGTACAGCTATCCCAATCAGTGTGCTTATAGTGAAGAACACCCCCCCCCCCGCCCCCTAGTAAAACACTCCCAGCACACCGTTAACCCTTGGATCGTCCCTCACATTAACCCCTTCCTGCCCAGTTCCATTAGAACAGTGTCAGTGCTTTTTTTTGGTCACTGGTCACTGGGGGTGACACCAAGTTAGTTACCTCCTGTGTCAGAAAGTCCGCTGCAGTCCCGTTAAAAGTCATTGATCACCACCAATACTAGTAGAAAAAAAAATCTCATTATCTATACCGCCATTTGTAAGCGCTATAACTTTCACTTAAACCAATTAATTTGCAAGTATTAAGATTTTTTTTTTTTGCAAAGGCATGTCACAGAATACATTTTGGCCTAAAATTATGACGAAAATTTGATTTATTACATTTTTTTACTGGACATATTTAATAGCAAAAAGTCCAAAATATTATTTTTTTCTCAAAATTGTTTTTTTTTGCTTATAGCGCATAAAATAAAAACCGCACAGGCAATCACATACCACCAACAGAAAGCACAAGTCATGGGAAAAAAAGGATGTAAATTTAATTTGGGTGCAGCGTTGCATGACCACAATCATCAGTCAAAGTAACGCAGCACCATAACGCAAAAAAATGGCCTGGTCATGAAAGGGGGTAAATCCTCAGGAGGGCAAGTGGTTAAAGAGCCGTGGCAGGACAGAGAACCCATCATATCCAGTGACTCCTGCAGGGGTAAGCGCTACAGATACACTAGATTGGTGGGTCTTTATATTTTATAATTCTAGCCAAAACTTAAACACTTGTGAATCGTAACACGGGCCAACTGTTATGAAACTTAAAACTGACTAAGAGTTCTTGCAAAAGGAGCAGAAAAGTAAAGAAACAAAGACAACAGTCCTGTACACATGAACAGAGTTTTTCTTGGCAGAAGATCATACCACAAATATGTTATATGGCATTAAGCAAATTTCTTACTCACAGTTTAAAATGTATTTGAAAATACTGGAAGATTGCAAAATGGAAATGATTACAATGGTTTTACTGGAAATTGATTTTACAAGGTTCTTTTTTTGTTCTTTAAAATATTCAGTCAGGTGCGCTTAAACCGTTGACTTGCCTGTTGCAGTGAAAAACAACCAGGAATGCAAATAAAGCGACTTTGTTATCACATGAAAAAAAATAAAATAAAGAGAATTTCTTGCTAGAAGGGAATTATTACTACATGTACCACTAACCGTATCTCCATTGTGTCCTTCAGAGCCAAATTGTACCCTTAGAACCATTCTCTGCATGCTCTTAAAGATTGCTGTCAGCTGCAGGCTAGTATTGTTGGTAGTCGTACACTCTTTGGCATGCCCCTACTTGAGTCCAGCAATTGTTCATGCCCTCACACTGCAATGGCCAACATTTTGACTGGGCATCAACAGGAATCTGAGTAATGGGCATAAGTGCTAAGAGAAGATTTAGACACTGTAGAGTGCCCAGTCCATGGTGGACAGGGTAGGCTAATTTATTGACAGGTATTTCAGACTGGTTTATAGCCATCTATTACAAATTTCAGGATCTTCACTCGGCCAACGTCACACAGCTAGTCAAGTTGTTGGATCGATCCTGACTTTACAGTTGGGTATACGAAACGCGTCTAGGAGGAGCCCTTGCACGCCGTGACGTCACGCCGCTGGATCACGGAGGTCCAGCGGCCATCTTAATCACCCAGCTGGTCAGTGTATTAAGCAGCTTGTATGCTGCTATTTTAAAGACACACTGCTATTTTTAAGATACTTTATGTATGTTTACATGCTCTAATTATGCTATTTACCCAATAAATACTGCTACATACTACACTATGGGCATCTATATTTTTTGCTCTGTACCGAGCAATTAAACCCCATCCCAGGACCCCAGGTGATCCACCCAGACCAGAGGAGAGAAACCTAAGACCAGACCCTGTTGCAGACAACCCGTTTAAGGGGCCCTCTGACTGACATCTCTAATACCCACAACCACAGAGGAGGGGATCTTGTACCAGGCTGCACCCCATAGGAGACCTCCGGTTGATACATTCGATCAATGTGCATTAGGATTGCGCTTCCGGTTAGTGTGCAATCTTACTATTTCTCACCGGATGATATATTATCTCACATGGGGATAGGAAAGCGGTTATATCTATATTTCATCTGCATCTTTTACCGTTATCCTGCATACTAACGTTTGGGGATTTTTGAATCACTTTGTCACTTTCATTGAAATATTTGCTGCATTCTTATCTATTGTTCATTACATATTATCTAGGTATTACCGGACTTCTTATGAATTTATAGATATATTTTAGTTCTTATTGATATACTCATTTTTAGTGCCGCACTGTTTTGTTTGTATGATCAGTGGTGTTTGATCGCTTAGTTCTCAGTGCAGGATCAATACTGCATCCACCTAGGTAAGTACAATTTTTTTCTTGGGGGGGGGTGGGGAAAACCATACTTCTCTTTTAAGTCAGGGGGTGCCATTATTTCTTTTTAATGGCCAATTATTAAATGTATCATGATCAGGTGCATTTTTCTGTTTTTGTTTTAAATAATAAAAAAAAGACTATTTGCATTTCTTTGCTGGTAAATTAAATAATGTTAGGCCTAGAATAATGACAATTGTAAATATGTAAGAGAACAAAGGTCATGCAGCTTGTTCATTCCAAGTTCCCATCATCTGGAAAGTGTAGCATCTCTATGTGCGGTTCCACATTCAAGCCATGGGTATGTCCTGACATTCTGCTACGTCACAGTGTGCCATCCTGGGTCATTGAGCGTCTGTAGACAGCCATCTGTGCTTTGTCCAGAGTGCTTTCTAACCCAGATATTTGAGTCAGGCCTGGCTATGCACTTCCAGGCAGACCGTTTGTCAGTGTCATATGCTTTGGCTCATGGTCAAATGTTTCATTAGTGTTTAACATTAGCCAGCACTAGGAAAAACACATAATGCACTCCATCAGGCCAGATAATTTAATTCATTAAACCAACTTTCCTTTTATTAAGGCTAAAATTGTAAACATTCCTCATAAAATAGTTATGGTTGCAGAATAAAGAAGATTGGCTTCTAAGTAATTTTTAAATGTAAAAAAAAACATGATAACACAAAAAATATAAAAACAGATCTAGAAGTTGAAATTTTATACAACTTCAATTTATCCCCCAGCACTATAAGGATGTTCTTTCCTCATTACCGAGTTATTTTGGCTTAACAAACCCACAGAACACTGTGACACAGGAGAACTACTTTAATAGGACCAACCAGTGTGAATAGCAATCTACAAAAGAAAAAGCTCTAGAATTGTTCCCCTAGGATACACAGGTAGTAATTTTCTTACCTAAACTGAAAGCTGTAATGGGACTTTCTACATCTTTTTTATATTTGTACGTAAATACACACACAACGACACCTTGGTTTATAGAAATGGTCTAACAAGCATGTAGCTTATCAGTATTATAAATATTTCAGATACATTTTTGAAGGCAGGTATTTTTCCACAGATGACCTGCTGTCAAAATGTAAATGTTTTTAATCGACCAAAGCATTTCTTTATTTGTTATATTTAGGATGTTGATGAAGGTGGGAATTAAAACACCAAAGACAGCTTGGGAGCTAGCTTGGGAGCTAGCGTAGGGCTGCCTAATCTTTAAAGACACATTGTCATACCTCCCAACCATCTGGAATGGGCAGGCCTGTCCCAATATGTTGTTGAAATCCCACGGATCCATACTTTATCGCAGAGCCAGCAATGGGTTCCATTAATGCCCCTGCACTGATCTGGCTCTGATCCCCCAGCAATGAAGCTGGCTTTTGCTCCTCTCTCTCCCACTGGCTGCAATGCAGGTGGATCTTTTACAGTATATGTCCAGCACTCTTCCCCTCCGATTATTGCCCCCCTGTGTGCCCCCAGCTGTTCCAATTCCTCCGTGTGCTCCACCCACCCCCCCCTGCAGCTCTGCCTGCTCTCCTCCTCTGCCTCCCAGTTCAAACACAGAGGGATCGGTTCCAGTTTTGCCATCCCCCCTTCCTGGTGCACACCCACACTTCACTTTATGACCCCCCTTGCAGCTCTGATCCTCCTGTGTGCCCCTTCCCCCATAACACTGCTGGCTCACCTCCTCTCCCTCCAGCTGTGTTCATTCCTAAATGAACACAGTGAGCGCTCGGTACCAATTGCTCATGTGTTCATTCATAACTGAAGCATAGTAAACTGGGTTTACTATGCTTTAGTTTGTGAATGAACAGGAAGCCACTCTGTACAGAACACGTCCTATTTGCTCACAGTCCAGTGCAGCTGAAAAAGGGACTGAAGAATATACAGTATGTCCCCCAACAGGGCTGTTAAAATGTAAAAACAAAATTCTAAAAACTGTAAAAACATTTTTTGAAAAAGCCATAAAACGAAATCAATAAATATTTGTTCACACATGCTTTGGTCTCTGAAGAGACTGCCGATTGCTCTTCAGAGAGCATTTGACAGATGGTCAGGAGACGTTGTATCACCTCCTCATTGCCTGCTTTAACCCCTTCAACACTGCACCAGCATGCCACAACCGTGTGCATTGCACACAGCTGCGGAGCTCATCCAGAGAGGCACCATGCACTTGAATGGGTTGCGTTTAATGGGGTATAATTTATGACGTGGCTGTAAAGCAAAGCAACTGCAGTATGTTTACATCCCCAGGCACTGCCTCTGCAGTTAAAAGAGTAGTGGTTGATTGTCCTCTCCATCGAAATGTAACCTCACTCAAGGGAATTCCTGTATGGCAACTGATGCATAGAAATGCGCATGTGCAACATTGTGCATAGAAATGAGCACAGTCACATTGCTAATAAGAATGAGCATAGGCTTGCGCATGTGCGAAAGACTGTGCGCACACGGGTGCACGCATGCAGGAGCGTGCCAACAGTTTTCTGGCGCCAGACATTTAAAGGAGGTTTTTACTCTCTGGCAGTGCTGACTGATTTTCAGCTATTTCTTTGTGTCCTGCTGTATCCTGTGTGTTATCCATTACTGACCTGGCTTGCCATTGACCTGCTCTTGGATCTTGCTTCTGCTCATCGGTTTCTGATACTGGCGTCTTCCTGACCATGTGCCTGTCTCATGTTTCGGTAGCTCATCGCCTGATTGTTCCTGACTCTGGCTATTACTTTGACTATGCGTCTGGTTCCAGTTTGGCTCTACAGCCCTGCCTAGTGCTTGCCTTGGCTATTATATCAGCTCTGGTTGTCACAGTGTGTTCCAGCCTCACACTTGTTAGACATTCTGGCAAGCCACGCACCCAGATCTTGCAGTTCCAGTGGAGTGGTCCTTTAACCTCGGCTGGTCTGTTCCTGACTGGACGCCCTGCTTGATTTACTGAGTTTACACCTCCAGTCGCATGTTCTGCAATCAACATCTGCAGGCACTTGTTTTCCTCCTATCCCTCTGCACCATCTGTTTCACCTTCAGTGGGGCCTGGGCTGGACATACAAGAGAGGCCGACCTCGTCAATTCAGACTTCTATTGGGTACGTGACACTAACCCACCTTTCACAGCGGTGCACATAGCAGGCTGCAAGTCGCTGTCCCGCTAAAACATGTCTTTCATTCTCAGCTTCCAGGCACACAGCCAGCCTCCACAGAGATACAACATCCTCTAAGTCTGGGCTCAAGCCTTGGGCCCTCAAATCAGGCACATAGGTTTCTCAGCTGCTCCTCTCCCCAGAGAGGATGGCTCCCCAAGAATGAAGGTTCCTTCCAGAACAAGGTTCAGCCATTTTGCCTGAATCTGGTCCAACCCTCTGATAACAAACTCACCAGGGATTGGCCAGTGGACAGGACAGGCAGGACCTCCCAGCAACACGCTCCTGGCACAAGAACTTCCTCAACAGAGTGAATGACAGGTCATTTTGAATCTGAAAGTCCCTAAGCACCAAATTTGCAAAGAGCTTCCTTGCAAAAATACAAAACTCCAGAGAGGACATGCAAAGATACAGATAAGAAGGGGTTAGGAAAGCACATCCCTACACTTTCATAAGTAAGCCTGCACAGTTATAATAATGCATGCAAAATTAGATATTCAGATTCTACATTTGGGACTTTTTTTTTAAGTATTACGATAATATACATGACTAACTTCATAAAGGACACAAGAGTCAGCAAGCAGATCTTTGAATGTGAGTACATTTAGTTAAGTAGTTTGTTTTGTATTATTCATTAAACACCAGAAGTCCATGAAATATATAATTTCCAGGCTCATTGTCTTTTATGATCCATTACGTACATATGCATCTGTCATTTTTAGCTGCTGAACATCTTCACAAAGGGTTGTGGAGCATACAAGAAGTTAGAGAAATAAAAAAGGAATGTTATGATAAATGTATACTGTATATCATTACATCTTTCTACGTAAAGCTGACGTTCATGTTTCTGGTTCCAAGTCTAGGTTATATAACAAAGACAAGGCGCTGAACATGTCCAATGCATGGAATGCACTAAATAATAGCAACTGCTTATAGCGGTAGAATATTCTTGAATTTTTCCACAGTTTTCTGTCATATAATATAGTAAGGTGGTAAATGTGGTGGTTTTTATAATAAGTATCAGTTTGCAACAGATAGAGATTTTTGCCTGTGGATGTTAAGATTCCATGTTATTGTATAGGAAAAGATGAACAGTTTAAAAGAGAAGTAAGTGGACTTTATTAAATAAAAACATTTATAATCACCTAGATGGATGCAGGAACGATCCGATGCTGCATCTGTCCTCGCCAGCTCTGTAGTGAGAACTGAGCCATCAAACACTGCTGATCACTCATTTCTCCCCTCTGCTGAGCAGAAAGCCATGTCTCTCAGTCTCCAGCTCTCTGCTGTGCCCCTCCAGCGCTCACTGGAGGACCAGGCTGTAGAGGGGTGAGGGAGGGACTGGCTCAGGCTCTCGGCTCTCTGAGCCAGGTGCCAGTCCAGGCTTCTGGGTGGATCCGGACCATATGGTGGGGATCTTTTCAGAGCCTGGACTGGCTCAGCGATGTCGGGTCACAGGAGTGCAAAATGAACTGCTCTCCTGTGATCCATAAGAGAAGTGTAGCCAAAATAGCTTTAGCTATTCTGTACTTTTTTAAGTAAATTTGGAAAATTCAAATTGAGTTTAAAATGAAAATGTGCATACACGGAGGCAACCTTCAGTGAAAGATACATGTCCAACCAATCAGTAGATCCCAATATATAGGCAGCTGAGGTTTTATACACATTTTGTCTTTAGTTTCCCTTAGTCTTCTGACCGGTCAGTGAAGCTGTCTGTCATATTAAAAGACCAAAGGGGATTATTAATTATATAGGTATTTATATAATGCCAACAATTTATGTAGCACTTTACATATTAAACATTCACATTAGTCCCTTTTATTCTAAGATCCCTATCTCATATGCAAACATATCAGGGTCAAATTAGACAGAAGAAATTACTGTATTTTTTGCTCCATAAGACACACCTGACCATAAGACTCACCTAGATTTTAGACGAGGAAAACAAGAAAAAAAATATTCTGAACCAATGGACTGCAGATATAGTACAGGAAATGACCAGAGACTGCAGACATAGTACAGGAGATGACCAGAGACTGTGGACATACTACAGGAGATGACCAGAGACTGCAGACATAATACAGGAGATGACCAGAGACTGCAGACATAGTACAGGAGATGACCAGAGACTTCAGACATAGTACAGGAGATGACCAGGGACAGCAGACACAGTACAGGAGGTGACCAGAGACTGCGGACACAGTACAGGAGATGACCATAGACTGCAGACAGTACAGAAGATGACCAGAGACTGCGGACATACTACAGGAAATAACCAGAGACTGCGGACACAGTACAGGAGATGGCCAGAGACTGCGGACACAGTGCAGGAGATGACCAGGGACAGCAGACACAGTACAGGAGACGACCAGAGACTGCGGAAATAGTACAGGAGACGACCAGAGACTGCGGACATATTGCAGGAGATGACCAGAGACTGCGGACATAGTACAGAAGATGACCAGGGACAGCAGACACAGTACAGGAGATGACCAGGGACTGCAGACACAGTACAGGAGATGACCAGAGACTGCGGACATATTGCAGGAGATAGCCAGAGACTGTGGACATAGTACAGGAGATGACCTGAGACTGCGGACATAGTACAGGAGATGACCCGCTCCCACTTTCGAGGAGTTGTCCTCTCCCCTTCCTCCCCATAGTCTTTTAGGACACGTGACAGGTCCCAGAACACTACGGGTCCATTCACAAAGCACAGCGCTTCTCGCTGAAGCCGGGTGCCCACACTGAAGATGCCGGAGCCAGAGAGAGAAGACAGCCGGTGAAAGCAGGATACCGCTGGACCGAGGAACAGGTAGGACCAAGGAGCAGGTTCTTCTGCACAGTAGAGCTAAGCGACCGGCCCAGTATTCTAACACGGTGGCGGCGACTGAAGGAATACCGGTCCGAGCACATTATATTCGCTCCATAAGATGCACAGACATTTTCCCCCATTTTTTGGAGTGTCTTATGGAGCGAAAAATAACCCACCAGCATGCCTTTAGATCAGTGTTTCTCAACCAGGGTTCCATGTATCCTTAGGGTTTCTTCAAAGGTTGCTTCTTCCTTGAGAAGTTATCTTTTTAGCTACCTGTAAAGGGTGATTCTTCTCAATGATCTCAAGTGTAAGGATAATTCTTAGTAGAAAACATGGCCACTGCCCCAATCTATAACTGGCCTTCACAAGAAGGAGCACATGGAAAGGCGACTCATGTCAAACAACAAAAGAGAAAAAAATTCACAGCTCAAATTACCAACCAGCCTGCAAACAATCTCAATTGTCCTGTCTAACAGTTTGCATTAAAAACAGAGGTTTAGTTAGCACACATTTGCAAATACATGAGTTAAAGCAGAGTTCCGCTCACTCTGTAAAAAGATAAAAGTCAGCAGCTACAAAAACTGTAGCTGCTGACTTTTAAAAAACAGCCACTCACCTGTCCCACGATCCGGGTTGCCCCCGCCGCAGCCCGTTTCACCGGCCATCCTGGATTCCAGGTGCCAGCATCCTCAGTGTGGGCACCTGGTGATCGCAGCAGACGTGGGAGCGGGTACCTGTCAAATTCGGGTACCTGTCCCCTCCCGTTCCCCAAAGGTGCCAATCCTTAATGAGGAGCGGGGGACCAATCTTTAAAGCGGAACTCCCCCTTTTGAGTGGAACTCCATTTTAAGCTGCAGAGCCCCTTCATTGCACCCTGATATTCTGCAGTTAACTCTATATATTTTGAGAGCCTCCATAGTAGAAGCACATGTATAAATGGGTACACTGAGGGCAGGTGACCCTGAGGGAGCCCACCCCTCCTTTCCACTTCCCACTGACCACCACACCAATGTACTGTGAGCTGTAAGTATAATATTTATTAGCAGGGGTTCCCTGAAGCCAAAACATTATGTCAAGGGTTCCTCCATGTTAAAAAGGTTGAGAAAGGCTGCTTTAGAGAGCGGTAGGCAACCTATACAAGCACAGGGAGAACATGCAAACTACCATTGAAAGCATTTGGTTATTTCTGTTTGATAAATGCAAACTACATTCCATGTCCTGAATTCCAACCTGTCCTTGGCACACTGTGTTTTCTTTTAGCCCACCTAGTTCTTATCATGGAATACAGAATTGTTAGTGTCTATGTTGTAGAGAATAAGCGACTCTGTTGAGTAGTTTGGCAAAAGACTACTGGGCAGGGCTGACACTACTCGGTCCACAAAAATGTTTTGTGCTGTCACCCTACAACATGATTTAGGAGCTGATTGCATTTCTGGCATGTCATCTGTACTTTCAGGGTGTTAAGTCCTAACGCACACTTGACATTTTTACAGCGGCTGTTTTTTTGGCTTTTGATGTTTTTTCTACAGCCAGTAAACTCCCCAGCATGTTATGCTATGTGTCCATGCACACATAGACTGTAATCAACGTTTTTTGGCTGGAAAGTTTTTTGGCTTGAAAAAAAACCAGGACTAGTGGGTTTCTAGAGGAGTTTTTAGCTGTAAAAATGCTCTAACGCTGAAAAACGCTGTAAAGCGCCGCAAACCGGCGTTTTTTTTTTGTTACTTTTTTGACCAAAAAAATCATTTTTTTGGGTAAAAAAAAACCCACTAAAAAATGCAAAGGCGGAAAAATGTGGTTAAATGGCACTAAAAGCAGCAAACCACTACTAAACGCTAATGCAAAAAAGCTAAAAAAAGCTTAAAAACTGGCATTTTTAACGTGATTTTACACAGCTACCGTTACCAGCGTTATCAAAACGTCCAGTGTGCATGAGGAGGAGTAAAGCATGGGAAAATGCACATGTATTTCAGAGATGCACTTCATATGTTTTTTGTTTTGTTTTTTTATTTTTGCAAGTACATATCCGTTAAGAAATGGTTGCACTGGGGCCAAACTCTGCTTCTACAAGATGAGTTGGGTAAGCAATTTCAGCTACCTTTATGTCTGGATCTACTGATTATTTTGCTTTGTACTTTTCACTAAAGGTAGTTTCCAGTTTCATTGACTGGCTGAGGCTACAGGGGACTATTGGGTGGTACCCAGTAAGGAAGCTGAAGGGATAAGTAAGTATAATGGTTCCATTTTAAAACAATTACATTACAGGAAGCAGGGAATATCACCTTATATTCCCTTGTACTTTGTCCATGAGAATATTTTGGACACTGCAGCAGAGGACTAGCAATGTGTACCCACGGGCATTCCTAATTCTCAGATCTTGCTGTCAAACTGGCAAATTACTTACAGAGTTATAGTCTAGTTAACGAACACACCTGTCATTATCCAGAATACATTATTGTAGATTTCCTGTAATGTAGAATTTTGTTTAAAGTTGGTACATTTTGTTTCAAAATCATAATGGGATTAAAGGGCGTTAAAAATGGTTTGGGTATAGAAATGAGCAACATCCTTTACACCCCTTAAGAAATCATTCTGTGTATTGTTTAACAGTGGGCTCCACAGTGACATAGAAAAATGATTCATTATTATTTGTGTCTAACATTTTCTAAAAGAATGGAACTCTTTGGATAATGGTCTCCTATATATAAGATCTTGTTACAGAATTTCTGATATAAAAAAAAAAAACAATTCATAAACATAAATAACTACATACAATATAACAACAGTTAATTACTCATGACTGCACTATGGGGTTGATTTACTAAAGGTAAATAGACTGTGCATTTTGCAAAGTGCAGTTGCTACAGAGCTTAGTAAATGAGGTGCAGCTTCACTTTGCAAAAAATACCCAATCACAGGCAAGGAAAATAAAATAAAAACAGCCCTTTTGCTTGCACATTGTTGGATAATGGATTTCAGCAGAGCTCCTGCTCATTTAACACCTTCCTTCGTATAGCAGATTGATGGCCGGGGGGGGGGGGGACACTTCTCCTTCTGAGTGGGTGTCATATGACATCCTGTCAGAAGGAGCTGCTCACAAGGCCGTGTGGCCGTGCTGCGGCGGCGATCTGTCACCGGCTGTGCACACAGCCAATGACAGATCATTACACCGGCCCGTTGCCAGTGTCATGTGACCGCTGTGACCAATCACAGCATATTACATGACAATTGTATACAATGGATGGCTTCCTGTCATGCCATCCATTGTATACAATTGTGTTGTTAGCTGTGATTGGTCAAAGCAGTCATATGGTACAGACAGGGCCCATCTGTATCATGTGATGAGCTTTGCCCAGTCACAGCTAATCACAAAAGACTGAATGAATCACTTTCATTCAGTAACAATGGTTGCAAATATCAATGAAATACATTGGTATTAGCAATCATAATGTGTAAAAAAAAAAATCCTGATCACTTGCCCAGAGTAGATCAATGTTACTATTGTAACAATGTATTGCTTTGGTCACAGTGTGTTGAAAAATAAATAGTAAAAAGAAGAACAAATAATGTAATAAAAAAAAAAAAAATAAAGAAAAATGTGAAAAAAAAAATGTAATTATTATTATTTTTTTTTTTGCATACTGTCACCAGCCTGTGTCTCTGATCACCAGTTATATAATAACGCTGTACTGGACTGGTGACAATATGTTAAAAAAAAATTGTGACTTTTTTTTAATTTCTTCATTTTCCAAAAAACTTCAATAAAACTCACCATGGCTCTTACTAAATACATTGAAGTGTCTATTTTCCAAAAATGGGTCATTTGGGGGGTATTTATACTTACTCAAGAAATGAGATTGTCTGTCAGTACATCAGGATTGATCAATTGTCAGATATATATACCAAGGTTTGTGGACTCTATAACTTTCCAACAGACTAAATAATATACACTAATTTGGAGTATTTTCACCAAAGAAATGTAGCAGAGTACATTTTGACCTAAATTTATGAAGAAAGGTAATTTATTTGCAAAAGAAAAAAAAAGAAAGCTCTATTTGTGTGAAAAAAAAGTATACGCATTCATGGGTACAGTTTTGCATGACGGCACAATTGTCCTTTAAAGTGTGACAAACTGAAAGCTGAAAATTAGCCTGGGCAAGAAGATGGTAAAAGTGCCTGGTATTCAAGTGGGTAATAAAATCTGTAACTGCTCTTTGCAAAGTGAATAGTCTATTTGCCTTTAGTAATTCAACCCCCACGTGTCTCAATTTCATGTTTGGCACAAAAAGTACACATCAGTTGTTGGCATCTTTTACCTATAAGGGGCCTTACATGCAGGCTTTCAGATCAGGTCCACCTGTCATTTTTTTCAGGCGGACCTGATCAGAAGCTTCATGTTGTTCTACGGGCAGGTTGATATAAATGGACTTGTGTCCAGATCTGGAAACAAAAACAAAAAGGGACTACATCCTTTTCTGTTTTTTGGACCTAAACTTAATGGATCAGAGGTAGCCTAATGTAAATGGACACAAGTCTGTTTACATTCGGCCACCCATGGAGCCATCATGGGTTTGTCCATGTCCATTGTGAAAATGCAGACCCAAACTGAAGCACACATGTAAAAAAAAACTGAAATCTGTTCCCTTTGGCTCAGATTCAGCAGGGGATCTGCTCAGGGATCCCCTGTTGAATAAAGGGAAGCAGCTCTATGTAGAAGAAACCTAAAGATCCAGTAGTGGACACACCCACTTAAAGTGGAACTAAAGTCAGTATACTTACCTCAGGCCTCTTCATTGGCCAGTGCGGGACGATGTAACTCCTGCACATGCACAGTCATCCTGGCACACAGGATTTAAAGCAATTGTAAACCCTTCCATGAAGTGAAGTGACTGGTCTCAGGTGATCCTCCTACATAAGTTGTACCTGTTTATCTGCAGCATTTATCTTGTACAGCCTTGTAAAACAGAGATAAAAGGTTCAAAGAAGCACAAAGCAGGGGGCAAGGAACTAAAGGTACACACTGTACAGCTCAGTAAGGAGAGCTCTGAGAGCTGATTGAAGGGAAGGGACACACCCCTCTCCACACAGCACACAGGAACAGAGCTAAGGCTGTCAATCACAGGCTGTGTGCTGGAGCTCTCCTTGCCATCCACCTTTTTATCTCTTG